TAAATACTGAGCAAAGGGTCTGAATACTTAGGACCATGTGATATTTCAGTTTTTCTTTTTTAATAAATCTGCAAAAATGTCAACGATTCTGTGTTTTTCTGTCAATATGGGGTGCTGTGTGTACATTAATGAGGAAAAAAAAAATTAACTTAAATGATTTTAGCAAATGGCTGCAATATAACAAAGAGTTAAAAATGTAAGGGGGTCTGAATACTTTCCGTACCCACTGTATATATATATATATATATATATATATGTATGTATGTATGTATGTATATATTAGTGCTGTCAAAATTATCGCAGGCGATTCATTTTTTCAGTTTAACAGCGTTAAAAATATTTGACACAATTAACACAGGGGCGGGGTTAGGTTGGCCACACCATTCACAACGGCTGATTCTGTCTCATTTGTCTTGACAAAAAATGCATTTATTAAAACAGAAACTTTTTTTGTAAAATGTAATAAAAATGTAATAATGAATTAACCTTTTTATGCATCAGTATTAAAGTATCAAACAATAGTATAAACCTAAAAAAGCAGTAAGGCATGAAGTAACAAGTCAAAGGCGTCCATCAAGCACATTTGTACAGAAAAATGATTAAATGCCAGTGCACTGTAATTCAAAAACATGTTCTGTGTGAACTGGCCTTTAGCTTAACACATTAACGCTGTGATAAGTCTCTTTGCATCATGAGAAGCACATGTGAGGTGTGTTACTCACTGGCGTGGACCTGTAGGCCGCAGCTCCCGCAGGACAGCAGGACGCTGGTGCCGTCGTCACCGATGTGGGAGTTCGACGGCAGCGGTTCGGTGTTCTCGGCACCCGCGCTGAAGCACATCTCTGGAACCAGCGGACGCGTGTGACAGCCGACCCGCAACACCAGACCGGACGTGTCTGAGAGGTGGAAGGGGTCCTTAACGCGCTAAACACGCACAAAAACACAAGAGAGAGGAGAGCATGCTAAACCAAAGAGAAATAAACACGGATTTAAAACAACTTCCACTTCAATCGGGCAGTTTTTGGTTAAAAAAAGCATTGAAGTGGACCAGACTTTGTGCTGATAGTCAAAAGTCTGATTATGTATTATGATATACTATTATGTATTGATTACATACTATTTCAGTATTTTGATACTGTAGTAGCGCTCAGTGCATTACCTGTGTGTACGGACAGAAGAGCGTGCAGACGGCGCAGTGCGGCTCGATGGTCGCCATCGCAGCGTTGAACTGTTTCTCGGCCAGGAAGTTTGGCAAACGGTTCTGCCACAGCGCGCTTTCCTCGGACTTCTTGGCCTCCGGCTGAACGCCGCCACCTACAGGCAGTCCAGAGTACAGCTCTACAGAAACACAGAGCGAGATGACGTGTGTGAGAATCACATCAGAGATACACACTACAGCTAGGGCTGTGCAAAAAATCGAATGCGTCAGTATTGTCAGTAAAGCCGGTTCTGTGATTAGTAGTAAATCTCCAGCTTGTGCTTTCAGATGGAGCGGCATTTACTTCACAGAGCCGTAAATCACTGACAAGCTACGCAAAATCGCGTTCATAATCGGCAATGAATCGCCTGCGATTTTGCGTAGCTTGTCAGTAGACAGTCTTATCAGATAGATAGATAGATAGATAGAATGACTGAACGAACGAATGAACGATCGAACGAACGATAGAAGATAGATAGATAGATAGATAGATAGATAGATAGATCAATAGATAGTAAATTATTTTCCTTAATTCATTTATAAAATTTAAATTAGTGTTTGCACTAAGCAAAATATAAAACACTGAGATCTTTATATTAGACATACTTGCAGAATTTGAATAATATTTTCTCAAACACCAGAACGGGTCCAGTGCTGCCCAGAATAGTGAGAGGCTGTCCGATAGATAGATAGATAGATAGATAGATAGATAGATAGACAGAAAATACAATGAACGAATGACAGATGATAGATAGATAGATAGATAGATAGATAGAAAATACAATGAACGAACGAACGACAGATAGATAGATAGATACATAGATAGATAGATAGATAGATAGATAGATAGAAGGAACAAATGGACGATAGATAGATAGATAGGCTGAATGAACGAACGAACAAACGATAGATAGATAGATAGATAGATAGAAATATAGATAGAATGACTGATCGAACGAAATAGATAGATATTTAGACAGACAGACAAATCTTTAGACAAACTGACAGATATTTAGATGTCTAGACAGACAGATGCAACAATAATTGTAAAATGTGCAGAAGCTAAATAAGAAGAATTTTAATGCGATTCTGCCTCATAAGCACTGAAAATGCACATAGTTTAGAGGTAAATTAATCAGATAGAAGTGAAACATGGCTCAGTATGAGTGTTGTCCTCTTCCTCTGAGCCGTGACTCTACAGACAGCAGGTGAAGATGTATTTTTGGAGAGATTTGATGCCCCTCTGTCCTGTATTTTGCCCCCTACAGTGACAGCGGGTGGTGCGGGTTTACAGCTGTCTGTCTCTTCATAACTCACAGCACAGACAAATCAATAACCATCTTTCACCCGCCCCGTCTTATAAAGCGCTGATTGTTTGTGGCTGCTTTCTTTCATACTTTATTGCTTTTGCTCTTTGTGCTCGCGAGTGTACACTTTCACAACAAACAAACAAACACAAAACAACATCTCGCCATCAAACCCGAACACTCTGAAATGAAACGCCGGCCTAAAATGTTCTAGAAACATTCATAGTGTAAAAACATAACTTTTAACATCTTTTTCTTCAGTGGAAAATATGCCATCAGACATTTACCCAGGGTGCAAAGTTTCTTTTGCTCTCCTGAACTCCATGTGATAACAATTGCTGAATATTGTAATTTAATAACTTGCATTGTTAACTTGCATCCAATTTACGGGCCTCATTCAAGAAGCTAGTAAAACAAATTTACAAATCGTTTCTAAAACCTTTCTTCCATAAATTAACAAATAATTTTCACCAATTTAAAAAATAACATACAAATTTACATACTTTTTTTTTTTTCATCTTTAAAGAACATCATTATGAAGTTCACTCATGAAACAATGAAATGTCACAGATTTAAATTTACATAGGATGTTTTTTTACAAACAATTCTACAAACGTCATTCGATTTTACGACTTTATGATTTTACGACTACAAATTTTATGGTCATTTATGAAACTAGCAAGACAATTTTGCATACATTTTTCATAAAACTATTCTAATGCAAATTCAAAAATTTAAGCAAGAATGTTTTTACTAATGTCATTCAATTTTTTTAATGGACATTACTGGATTATATGGACAAAAAATATGTAATTCAAGAGCAGCTTTATGAACAATTTAAAAATTGTCTAATTAAAATTTAAACATCATTAGTTTTTTCGTACATTATTTCAAATATAATTTTTGAAACATGAGGAAAAACGAGTTTCTGTGCATGCAAGAATGGCTCCATAAACATTTTCATAAGTCATCTGATGTCACTAAGAACTTTCAAAATGAATTAATGTAATTTTTTTGGAACACTATACTAACAAAAATTTCTTCATTAAATTCAATTAATTATGCATGAATAGTTTATGAACATCATTGATTTTACTGGCATTATTACAAACTACATTTTTAAAAAAACAAGCAAAACATGCAATTTAACAATAGCTTTACGAACAATTTTAAAATATCATTTGATTTCATGACTGCCATTGCGAACGCTATCTATGCATGAGGAGCAAAACGAATTCCAGTAAATCTTTCATAAAAAGTTATTTTTGGATAAATTGCCGCATTCAATTTATGCACATTTTACGCAGAGTTGTAAGAACATCATCAGACTTTTCGTACGTTATTGCAAATGTAATTTTTGAAAGATTAGAAAAACTATTTTCTGTGTATGCAAGAATGGGTTTATAAACAAATTTACACACAACAGTTGATTTTAAAAATGTCATTACGAACTTAATTTGAAACGAGCAAAATTAATTCATCAAAATTTTTCGTAAAACTATTCTAATACAATTTTCTGCATTAAATTCAATGAACTATGCAACAACACTTTACAAACATTCCATTTTACGGACATTATTACAAACTACATTTAAAAAACACGCGTAGCTCTACGAACAATTTAAAAAATATTACGAATAACCTTAAAATCATAATATTTTGCAAGTTATTTTGAATATATTTAACAAAAACGTTTCTGTGCATGCAAGAATGGCTTTATGAATGTCATTTTAAGGACGTCATTATGAAATTCACTCGAAACATGAGCAAAACAAGTTCACGAAAATCTTTTGTAAATCCGATCTTACATAAAATGTTACACTGAAATTTAATTTATTAATATATGATTATTAATAATGTTTTTCCGAACAAATTACACAGAAATCTGCTTGCGTTTCATGAATGAGGCCCAAAATATTAAGCATTAATTTCAATTTCATACTTAAAGTACATCGCGCTTACTGTTTATCGTTAATGACGTCATGAAAGCAGTACTCACCCTCGTCGCTGGAGGCTTCCTGTTTGACTATGGAGTGAGGAGAGCGCATGGGCGGCTTGCTGAACGGATGTCTTCGACTCTTCTTTACCTCAACTTTCTTCTTCAGCTTCGTGAAGGGACTTGGCTGAGAACAAAAACATTTAACGATAATTTACCTCAACGTTTAAAATCCCCTAAAAACCCTTTTGGGATGAGAGACAGCGCTGACCTGCAGGCCGGGAGTGGCTCCATTACTCTCAATGTCGCTGGAAGCGAAATGCTCAAACACCTGCTGGAAGGAGAGCTCGTCGGGATGCTTTGGCTTCTTCTTTTTCTTCTTCTTCTTCTTCTTCTCCTCCTCTCTGTTTTCCGGCGGAGGATCCTGGGAATCTGTTTTTCTGTCTTCACCGGCTGAACAACAACAAAGATGGAGGAATGGCAAGCAAATACCATCACACGTTCAGTAATAACAAGGCGTGTTACTATGTGGTTGCTAGGGTTTATGGGGTGGTTTCTATATGTTAAAAGTTCACCCCCTTTACCTTCTTCCCGAAGCGCCGCTTCCGCTTCCGCCTGCTCCTGCTCCTCCCTCTCTAGCGCCTCCAGCGTGAGGAGCGCCTCCCGCGCCATGCGCTCGTCCCTTTGCTGCCGTCGCTGCTGCTCGCGCTCCTCCACCTTACGTAGATACTCACTCATATCCAGCTCCACTCCCTCCTCCGCCAGGACCTTCACCTCCTCCAGCTTCAGACGCCGGAACTGTTTCATCCTCGCCTGAGCTCTACGAAAAAAAACAAAAAAACAACGCAAACGGATAACAAAATTATTTCAACTCACACATTTCCCACTTCATAGTTTTTATTTATTATGATTTGAACTGTAATGGTCAAAAATCAATAAAAACTTTGTTGGAGCTCTACAAAAAACAACGCTAATGGATAAACTTTTATTTTAAACAAAAGGTTTCCTGCTTGATACTTTTTATTTATTAATTCAGGTAACAGGTCAATAAAAACTTTGCCTAAGCTCCACGAAAAAACAACAACAACAACAACGCAAACACAAATTAGTATTAAAAGTAAAAATGAGTAAAAAAAGTATTACGATTTGAAAATTTAAGGTGAAATGTCAATAAAAACCTTGCAGAGGTCTACAAAAAACATCGCAAATAGATAAACTTTTATTTTAAACAAAACGTTTCCTGCTTGATACTTTTTATTTATTACAATTCAAGCAAATTTTACAATTCAGGTAACAGGTCAATAAAAACTTTGCCTAAGCTCTACGAAAAAAACAACGACAACGCAAACACAACATTTTCCCACTTCATAGATTTATGTATTACGATTCGAAAATTAAAGGTGAATTGTCAATAAAAACCTTGCAGAGGTCTACAAAAAACATTGCAAATGGATAACGAACTTTTATTTAAAACCAAATGTTATCCCATTTGATAGCTTTTATTTGTTATGATTCGAACAGTAAAGGTCAAAGGTTAATAAAAACTTTGCCTAAGCTCTATAAAAAAAAAAACAATGCAAATAGATAAACTTTTATTTCAATCCAAACGTTTCCTGCTTGGTAGTTTTTTTGTTACGATACTAACAGTAAAGGTCAAAGGTTAATAAAAACTTCACCTGAGCTCTACAAAAAAGCAACATAAACGGATAACAAGCGTTTATTTCAACCCAAAAACTTTTCGCTTGATAGTTTTTTTATTTATTACAATTCGAACAGTAAAGGTCGATAAAAACTTTGCCTAAGCACTTCAAAAAAAAAAAAAAAACAACGCAATGAATAATGAACTTTTATTTCAACCCAAACGTTTCCCTCTTGATAGTTTTTACTTGTTACGATTCAAAATGAATTAAAATCATTAAAATGAAACCATGATGTTTTTCCACCGGAAAAAAAGTTTGCGTGAGCTCTATGAAGAACAAACAAAATGGATAACTTTTATTTCAAACCAAGTTTTCTGACTTGATAAAATTCTATTTATTAAAATTCTAACAATAAAAGTAATTTCACATCCATGGCAAATTTTCACAGAGACATTGTTAAAACGAAACGTTTTTTGACCAGTAACAAAAAAAATACCATAAATTCCATTTTTTCTGTATTACAATAGCTGTACTATTACTATATATTAGTGCTGGGCGGTATGACCAAAAATTTATATCACGGCATTTTTCAAAATTATACCGGTTTCAC